TTTCTTAAATTTATCTCTACATAATTCTCCTGGCCGTTCTTGAATTGACTACCCTTAAACTTCTCGACGGTGTTTTAATACGTTTTATGGAGCTTTTAGGCTGGCCGCTTTACTTACACATGGCTCAAAAAAAAATTAAGTGAAGGATTTAAAATCCATGTGGCTGATATTTTTTTCTCTCTTTTAGCTTCGACGTGCAAGGAACTTTATGACAAGAAGTTGTAAGTACAGCTTAATGAAATGTTGGCAGACTCACGGCTTTGTCTCTCTCAGGAACAAATCTAATTTGTTACAATCGCCAGATACGTGAGCTTTTGTTCTCAGCTTTAACAGGGAAAAAGGTGTAGCCTATACTACTGGTCTTAGTCAATGTATTTAAGATGTCACATAATGCGACAGGAAAAATTGTAGATAGCTAGCCTAACAAAAAAGTGAGTCTCCGTGTTTCTTTACCGAATTAAATTACCATGCTTACAGAGAAGACCAGAAAGCCTCGACTCAAAGATTAATTATTGATTACTAACGAAGTAGCAGTCGCCGGGCTAAAATTAATGCGCTCATCGTATTGAAGATATGTAAGCTACTTCTTCCTTGGTATAATACTAGAAATGGGAGCACGATATGAGAGATGAACAGGCGTACGGAATTTCTAAATGCGAGAAGAGTACATGTGAAAGCTTAGCTGGGTTTTGATCTTTGGTACATCTTGGGGTGTTCAGGCTCGAAAGATCCACTGCAGGAGCTTTCGCGGTACCTTTTAGGATCAAGGTACCTCTTAGGGGCTCTTTTCAAAATTTCCGACGAGCACCCCCGTCCTTTTGTATGGGAGTCCCCCCGGGGGGACATACACGCACTCGCAGGTGCCACGTGTACACTTCTCTAGGATACATGGCTGTGAAAGAGCTTCAAACGTGAAACAAAGACAGGTTGTGGCTATCAAACCGCTGCTCCAGACTGATAAGATTTTCTAATACTTTATCAGGGGCAACGTAAACAAAGCCTACATACTGAAAGTAGGATCTGTGAAGATTCCTGTGTATTGCCACATGACCGGTGTCGGTCTTGGAGCTTGCGGAGGAGGCGGATGGACCTTGGTCATGAAGATCGATGGCACAAAGGTATAATTACTCAGTATAACAACCGTTTCTTTCTTTTNATGTAACAAATTTTCCCTTCCGTACCCCGGAAAAATGTCGCTGTACTGAGCGACATTTCCCCTACCCCACCACGAGAAGGGTGATATTGTCAGCATCTGGTCGTCAGCGAAGATTTTGAATCTCGCGCTCGGAAATTGGCTGAGAGTCGGTTCTTTGTTCTAGAAACAATAGCGCCTTTCAAGCTGCAAACAATAAAAAATGCCCATAAACGGTGTGCCATTGTCCAAAAATTAAACACAAAGTCTGATATGGTCGTATCGTAAAAAGCTGGACCGGTCACGTGCGTATGATTAGCCAATCAAATTCGAAGATTTAGGATTCCGGCCCGCTCAGATGCTGGAGAAAAAAATAATGGTTCCTATTCTAGCAGACCTTGTGCAGCATCTCTGGATAGAATTAAACCAAACCATCACTCCTGGTTTTCACTTTCATCCATTCCTGAGTGTAGCACAATTTCATCAACTTCGCACAGGAGTTACATCTCATTTCACTCACCCCCTGAGTGCTGCTGCTTCCGCATCTCCTTGGTCACCTGGGCTCACTTACCTGTCTCAAAAATCGTCCTTATATTCCGTTGCCCGATTCTTACAAGCACTTTTGGCGCAAGCAATTTCATCGGCGGTTTAAGCGTCATTCGTAGGTTTGCACGCTGCTCCAACCGGGCGTTGACATTCTGTATCTCTGCTTCCCCACAGAAGGGCGCAGTGGCAATTCTAGTTTCGGTTTTTGTAATAAGCATGTTTTCCGGGAGCGGGTTCTTGGCCCACTGCCCAGCCCCCAACCTGGAGGACCAGGGGCTGTTCTTTGTCAGGCCTCTATCTTTCGACCAATCCGGCATGGTTAGACCGATACGGGACAGAATTTCCAGCTGGGCCAGCTCCTTGGGTCCTTGAGATAGTAACCATTTACCACCACCGCAACGCGTCAGTCCACGGCGAAATTGATTCGATTAGGTTTAGATGTTTTACTTGTAGTCTGTTTGCTGTATAGGCTCCTTTCAAGTGGAACGGGCAAGGTTTCGAACATAGTAATTTTTACCCATTGAGAACAGTATTGAAACACATCGCTTCTTCTCTCTCCATAAGGCTTTGCCTACTGAGATCGCCGAACCCAAATAGATTGAATATAAAACAGTCAAATGATCGATATCCTCAGTTTCTAAACCAGTAAATTCGAACCTCATGTCTGCATAATTTTTTAGTGAGCTTCAGTTGTGCGCCGAAAAAATTGCCAATGTAAAATCTATGATGCTAATATAATGCGCTTTCTTTTATTCTTTTAGCCTCGACGTGCAAGTTACTTTCTGACAAGAACTTGTAAGTGCAACTTGCTGAACTTTTGGTAGATTTGCAACTTTCAGTCTTTGTGAGAAACACAAATGCACTCAATGCTTTGGAATCGTTGGTGATGTCGAGTTTTGTTTTGCTTTTACACAATAAGGAAACCGTTCTGCAGCCTACCAAGGATTTTCCTTATGTTTAGGCGAGGGCGAATTGCGAAAGAAAAAAGTGCAGATATTTTTCGCTGCGTAGAATATTGCCATTGAAGACGAAAAGCTCTAACCTAAAAACTTAACTAACAGCGGTAACTGTGTTATGTTCGTAATAACCAGACTAAACTAGAATCCGACCACCATAATTTTTAATCTGCCATTTATTTCCTAATTATAATTAAGTCCAATTCGATCACGCTTGCACAGGCTCACAGGTTTGTCAGTTGTATGTCTATTATGAGCCTCTGAACAAAGTAGATTTTTAATGAAAATATTCTAAACTTCCTCTCCTTTGCCATAGTACAATTGAGCATCCATACGAAAAATAAAAAAGCCTACGGAAAGTATTGAACTCCTATGGGTCTGGTTAAGGACACACAAAAATCGATCATACATTTCTCAGACTAGAGCCTCGAAGACTGCTTTTAGATTGGTCAAATGGCAGTGGGAAGAGTTTCAAACTCGAACGTAAGGCGAGGTAAGAGTGATCAAACTGCAGCAGCACTGATAAGATTTTATAATGCTTTATCAGAGGCAAAGAAAACAAAGCCTACTTACTGAAAGTAGGGCCTGTGACGATTCCTGTGTATTGCCATATGACCGGTGTAGGTCTTGGAGCTTGTGGAGGAGGCGGATGGACCTTGGTCATGAAGATCGATGGCAAAAAGGTATGATATATACCGCGATAGTTTATTTATGCCCCCACCAACCCCCACCCATCCCACCAATAAGTCTAAGTTCACTTTTTATGAACAGGTGGCTTATTAGACAGGGTGCCTTAATTAACGTGTTACGGTATCGCTTGACCGACAGAAAGATATACTACGAAACTCTCCTATGAACCCAACTTGTTTATTTAACAATACGTAATGTAATCTTAGCTACAAAGGAGCAATTTCTGAACAATACAATCTACTACCAAACTAAGTTAAGCCTACTGCTAAACTTTAGTCACCACTGACACGAACTCACAATAAATCTTGATGTCTCCAAAGAAATCTCCTTACAGTCCACTTGACCTTGAACAAAGTTCGTCAATAGCTTTTACAATAACAATAGCACTCTATAGCTTTTCCACTCAGTCTCTGCCGAGAACAACAACGGGGAATTTATACTATCTAGCTGATTCTTTATATACATTTCACTAATATTCTAGAACATTCTTGGAGCTTCTATTTATGTAACATTACATCATAATTGCATCATTCAGTAGAATGTTCTAAACTGTTCCATAGTGTGACAGTACAAAGTTCTGGCACAAACATTGCGTGACTTGACATTTTAGAAGTTTCCAGAGACTTAAATACTCACGTCTGCTCTTCATAACAAACAGGGAAGGCTCAGATCGTAAACTGCTTGAATCTTGACGTAAAGTTTGCATAGAACTATAAATTCTTTTAATTTAGCAACTGAAAATTAAAACGCATCAGATTCTTTTGTTGTTTTCCAAAAATGGAGGTAAATTGCAAACAGGATAGAATCCAGCCAAAAATAGAGACTTTGGATCGGCCAACTTTATGTACAGTTTTTTTTAGCCTTTACAAAAAAATAAAAACTAGGGACAAAGAGCGTGGCTAAGTAAACAACAGAAGGGTCCAATTACACAATACAGGAGGATGGAAAGGAACTTCTCAAACTCATTATAATTCATCAAGTTAAAACAAAGAAAATCCCAACCGTGAAGGAGGTTTGGATACCCGGTCTTAATTAGCATAGATTTTGACGATTTTACTTCTCCATTTACTTCTTAGTTTTTGTTTCCATTGAGAAGATATATAAAACATTCGAGACAGTGTTTTCATCGGCTATCCAATCACCTCGAATTTCGTCAAAAATACTCCTCTGTGCGTCGTATTTTCAACTCTCTTCTCGGTGTTTGGATATCCCGATGAAACGCTGTCTCTCGTGTTTGATATATTACTTATTAGACAGGGAAGTCTATTATAAAATTCCACTTTCAAAGGGTGGAGCTTATTACAGAGGGGGAGATTTATAGGACTTTTACGGTATTAACAAAGTCGTTCATTTAAAACAAGGTGTGTGGTTTGCTTTTGCTATTGTTTCATCGCCCACCTTAAAAAGTCTGGTTTTCGGAGCCAGCCTTTCAATTAAAATCGATCGAGGCAGGCTATCGAAAGACTATCCAAAGGGTAAAGAGAAGAAATAATGATAGAGTGATGAACGTCAAATCTCTCCCTAAACGTTTTAATGACAATGAAGTGCACGGGGTGGAAGAACACTTCAAGTGACGAGCCTCGAGGTGTTTGGAATTGTGGTCAACATTGTCTTGAGTGTTTGATATATCTTGTGTTTCAAAAACTATGAAAATCTCTCAGTTGAATCTTAAGATAAACCAAATCTTAAGTTATATACGCTAAAGGACGACGTATTGAGACTGATTGCTGTCCAAAATATGAAAAAAATAACAAAAAAAAAAAAAGACAATTAAATTAGCTGGGAAATTCCAGAATGACATTGATGTGTGTTTTCTAAGTTCTATGCATGACGGCAAAATTATTCATGGGGTGTTTTTCATTGATATCCAGAATACATTTCGCTTCGACTCTAAACTCTGGAGCAACAAGAAAGAGTTCAATCTCCCAGGAGGGAAGACTGGGCTTGATTCACAGGAGACCAAGCTGCCAACCTACTGGCACACACCCTTCTCCAAGGTCTGTCTGGCTATGAAGCTCGACCAGCAGATCAAGTTCACTGTCATCAACGTGCACGCCAACTCTCTGTACTCACTGATCGCTGATGGGAAATACCGCAGCACCTCACTGGGTCGTAAGGCGTGGAAGACGTTGATTGGTTCCCAGGCCTCCTTGCAGCTCAAGTGCAACAAAGAAGGTTTCAATGCTGTTTGCGACCCTGGCGCTTCCAGAGCAAGAATTGGTTTCGTTGCGAACAACGAGAAAGATTGCACCAGCTGTGACTCTAGAATCGGTTTTGGTACAACAGGGGGTCCGCATGGTAACAACACGTGTGGGAACGTAGCAAAGTTCCAAGCGGATAACGGAGAAAAGTCTATCAAAACCATGGGCGGCATTTTTGTTCAGTAACAGCTATAACCTAACTATAGCACCACCAGTAATTGCACTGCTACATGTAAGGTAAATTAGGAACAGTTGTTCATTAGTGATAAAAATCGTGACAAAATGAGGGTCAGAGATTTGCTGAACTGAGATGAAAATCAAAATACTTGGGCAAGATTTGCAAGGGTGATTATTAATCATGGGCGAAAACTTACTTTGTCATGTCGATGGATAAAAAATCAGCGACCTTATGTAGAATTGTTGAGCATAACTGGACGCAAGAAATGATTAAGTGTTTCATTGTTCGCCTTGGTGAAAAGAAAGAGATCTCTGAAATTGACATTGCCAGGTGAAAAAATTCTAGAAAATGTACTGCTTAATTTAAACTCGTCCAACAAACCAAGTCAAGCAGCTTACAAAATCCTCATCACCAAAAGATGTACTCGCCCAGAAAAAAGCCAAAAAAAGTGGATTAGACTGTGAACTCATTGATGTGGAAAATATGGACTGAGAGTCAATTTATCTACTACCTAGGATATGTAAATTAAGCATGAAATTAAGAACTTCCAGTTCAAATTTCTCAATAGGAGAATAGCTGCAAATTCTTTTCTATTTAAAATGAAATTTTCGGAAGCAAATCTTTGTTGTTTTTGTCAAACAGCACAAGAAACGTTGCTTCATCTTTTCTGGGAATGCCTGATCGCAGAAGCCTTTTGGAATAACGTTCAACAATGTTTCGTCTAATACCAGCCTCACAAGTTTTAACTTGTTGCCAGTGTTTAGGTCTCAAAGGAGAGAAAAGCACCTTGCTATTCAATCATTGTTTACTACTTGATAAATTTTACATTTACTCTTGTAAGTACAAAAATGTTCGACCATCCTTAATAGAATACGTTAATCAGGTTAGATGCAATTTAAAAATAGGAAAACATGTTTCAATTATAATGGAACACAAAACGCATTCCAACAGAAGTGGCACAAAATACTCCAGTCATTATGACTCGCTGATCTCTCCTTTAAACTTTTGTTTAAACAGGCAATTTAATTGAATAACAATTAGGTTCTTCTTTTCATTTGAACAGCTTTAACTTAGTGTTTCATGGCCCTGTGTTTTTTCCGCTTATATTTACTTTCGTCAGTTGTTAGAATAGTGTATTAGTAGCAGTAGAAGTATTGCATCTGTTAGTTGTATTATTATTATTTTTGTGTCCCTATTAGTAATATCGTTGTTATTTAGAATTAACTCCTGTTAAAAAGATTGTTATATTGTTAGTGTTGTAAGCAATGTTGATTGGTATTGTAATTTGTAATTTGTAAGTAGTAATAGTGATATAGGTAACTTTAGTTTCTGTAAAATTGTACACAAAGTATCCCCTCCCCTTGTCAAGGCTCGCGATCAATACCTATTCCTGCTCAGCGGCTTTCGCTAACAAGCATCCGCAAATTACAACTCTCGAGGAGAAAAATATCACATTGTTGTAAGTTTCCCGTGTGCATTCAGCTGGCGAGTGCCTATTTTTAGGAGCATTTTATTTTTTTTCCATTCTCATCCTCCAAAGATCTTTTCACCGAATCGTAAATACTCTGTGCTCTGTTTCGTCATTTAGTGATTTTCGAAGTTGTTGCTGCTATTTTCAGCCTGTCCCTCCCTAGCTAAGGGACTTTCGTAATCTTAGCACAAAGTTAATTGCAGAATAAAACGAGCAGTTTTCTGAAGAAACTTTCTCACGTTCCTGTCGACATTTTGGTATACTTCATCTCGAAGCCTACTAACCCCTGCTCTTTTCGCGTCATCGGATGGTGTTCGTTGAGTGGGGTCGAAAAGCTGGCTACCCCTTTTTGTTAGATCACAAAGAGATTTCACCTCGCAATACGGTGAATGCGCCCGCGGTGCGAGCGGCAGCCCAACCCGAGCTGTGCTACCAAAACAACACGATAACAGTCTTCTTCTTCGAAGCTAACAAAATAAAGACAAGGTCTGGGTTGCTTTAGACTCTTGTAATACTTATCTCGATAATTCGCTGTTTAATTTGAGGAGGACCAAAGTGTTTTGTTGAAAGGGGAGGGGGGAAACCATTTTTGCGCAATGGTTGGTTGGAGACGCAAAAAATATTGAATGTTTCATGGAATGATATCATGGCTTTTGGAATTATAAGAACCTTTTGGTAAATATTTACCGAAAAAAGGTTCCCGACTTCAATGCCTTCTCGCTGCCATACATTTGACCATGGGACCAGGACGGAGAAAGGCCAGGCGATGAAACGGGGGTTCTGCTCTTTTCGCAAGGAGTTGTGCGGAGTAGGACTGGCACGAGCACTATTCCACGCTTCCGCTGCGTTTAATAGCTGCCAAAAATCTCCTTTCGACAACCAGATTCATTATTTCTTCATTTTTAAGCCACCAGCGGCGTATTTTTAAAAGTTGTTTTGTCACCTCTGGCCCGCAAATCAGTGGTTTTTTTTTTCAGTAGCAACTTTGCTTAGCTTTCTTTTTGTAAAAATCCAATAAATTGTTATTGAATATAAGATCGACGCAATCCGTCGATGCGTGTTTTGTAGCTAAATCACAGTCATGATCACCCAGGCGTAATACAATAGTTTGTAGGGGGGATAGTAGCTGAAATATAAAAGTTTGTAAGGAGGTTAGCAGATGAAATTAAAATCGATCAAAGTATGGGTGATTCACCGAATAAAGAATCTTTAATAGTCAGTACTGTAATTTCTTCTCATCCTGGGGTGTTTAAACAAGATTTGAGCGAATTTTACATTTTTCCAGTATTTTACTAACGACTGAAGTTGCATGTAAACAGTCTATATACAGGGATTTGGATGGAAAAAACTAGTTAACCGGGTGTTACTTGAGGGCGGACAAACAGATGATTCGGTTGATTAACTGTGAACTCGAT